GAGGGCCGGACCGTGTCCCCTCCAAACCCTAATAGGTCCGGACCCCCCAAGAGGATTCGGGTACGGCCCCGGTCCACGCAGGGTCCAGAGGCTTGGCGTCGCAGGTACTGTTTCTGGCGCCCACGACGTTTCTCTTCTCACGTCCGAGCCACGAGTTCCGGGTCGACTCCAGGTGGTGCACGGTGCAACTCCCGCCTGTATCCGCCTGTCACAACCATTGAAGTGTTCGTGTTGGGAGTTTCTGTAGACCGAAAAAAGCCCTGTAGTCCGTTTTGGTCCCAAATGAGTGGTCTAACTGCTAAGCAAACTGCCACTGAAACCTGGTCTTGCTCAGGATGATTTTATATTACTGTAATTTTACAGTATATTTTCCCTATGGGTGAATCCTCTCCTGGGGAATATGTGTTTGTTTATTTTCGGTTCCTTAAGCACATCCACGGACAAATATGACAAATCCTGTTCTCTATAGGACAGACGTCTGGTCCGGTCAGTACTCAACCAGACCCTGAGTCCTCTTACTTTAGAAAGGATTTTGGAACTTATGTAACTAAAGGTATATATATATAGTCGACTATAAACAGAATGGTCTTGAAAGGGGACCTGATTTCGGGAACTTCTTTTACTTCAGCCGGTCAAAATATAGTCGAACTGGACTTCTAGGGTATATATATATATATACCTTTAGTTACATAAAGACCATTCTCTTTATAGTCTTTGACTCCCAGGGTATATATTACCTTAGCACTTCGCCAGGCAGGACAGCGAGACCATGACCGGCCGTCAGGTGGGTCTGCTGGAGCTTCAATGGGATCCACTGATGATGATCAGCTGTGCGGTGGACGGCATCTTTGTGACGGATATGGTGATCCAATTCTTCACCATGTATCCCAAGACCACAGCGCGAGGCATCCAATGGGACACTCGACAGCAGCTTCAGGTCAGGTGTTGGGAGGTGGGTGCGGGGGGGGTAAGGAGGTGGGTAAGGAGGTGATATAAGGGCGGAGACGGATGGAGGCCGTGTGCCTCAAGAGATAAGGCCCGAAGGTCGAATTGGAAGGAACATGGGAGTTCTTGGTAGTGGCGCAACGCAGACGATTGCAGTGCCTTTTCAGATGCTCAGTATGTATATTGCTTAATATGGTGTTATATGGTGTTAATATGTGTTACTACCCCACACCGACTTCGTCGTACCGAACCGAAGCGGTTCGGTATGACTGGACCCGAACATGGCACCCGGGCCCCGGTCGTCCCACCGAACCGGTTCGCGGTTCGGTACCGACCAACGGAGGCCAGTCACGGGTGATTATCGAGAAGTGGTTGCTCGACGTTCGTCTCGCCAGCGGGTCTACCAGGTGTCCGAACCAGCACCCCGGTGGCTTTACCATGCTTCTTTGGGTGTTTGATGCAGTAGTAGTGGGTCTACTGATTCTGGGTGGGTCTACCCTGATTAGAATCCATATACAGTAGTGGTCCCCGAATAGATGGCACGGTGTCCACTATTGGAATCTATCTTGATCCGTCGCCCAATGTCGCCCACACTTGGATCTTATCTGCATGTATTAATACATGTTTCGTGGGGATCTACTTCATTTGAACCTGATTCGAAGCGGGCAGCCCGGCCTGCATTCCAATACGACACGCGGATGGACTCCGATGCACTCCGATCGTGCTCCGATCGGGTTGGATACAGTTCGAACTGCTGTTCCATCCCAACGAGGTCAGGAGCTGACCTCATTTTACTGATCATTCAAAACGCATACAGAAAAGCTATAATATGAAAATATACCTAGACCCTCCCGAGGCAATAATTTTTGCCGTAGGCTGTTGAGGCAATAATTTTTGCCGTAACTCATTTTTTCTGCCGTAGCTCAATCCCTGGAAAGTGAAAACGCCGTCAGAGAAGTGAAAACGCCGTCACAAAAGAAGAATCGCCGTTTTGTTTGATCTACCAAAGAGGATATTGTTTTGGTCCGTCCATACCCTGAAATTGGTCCGTCCATACCCTGAAATTGCCTTCTCCTTTTTCACTTGTAAGTAGAGCTCATCGTTTTCAAACCTCATGGTAGCACTTCTCAAGATGTTGCAGCCCTTGTCTAAGGTCTCGATTGACATCACGGCAGGATTTGTTCACATTTTGATCACGCAATGGCTGAAAGGCTCGCTTGTGACATGTTGTGACAAGTCTTGCTGCCACCTTGAGTGACCCTAGACAGGGTAAGGGAACGACGCCGTAAGTAGGGGGAAAACGCCGTAAGTACGGGGAAAAACGCCGTAAATACGAGGAAAAACGCCGCAAGTACGGGTAAGAACGCCGTAGCTTTAAACGCAAAATCTTCTGCAACGCCGCACAAGAGGTCGAGTTACCCGCGAATACCGACGAAAACCCAGCATGTGACACTTCCATCAGCTGCCCTTTCCACTTCACATGACTATGCGAGTTTGCTGATATAATAAGACGCCTTTTACGTTCAGTTGCCTTTCAAGCAAGACCCTACAATGTTTTCATAGTCGCCTGCACTAAAACTAAAACAAAATGACTCTTTGAGGAACATGGATGTGTGGACCAAAATTGCCGTCAACTGACCGAAACTGCCGCAGTTCATCAAGAAACGCCGTCCCCATGAGATCAATATGGAAGAACGCCGCAGAACGGAAAAAGGCGACGTTTCATGAAAACGGCAATTATTATTGCCGTAACGAAGTTCCAGGTATATATGAATATGACTCAATCAGGATTTTTTCAGGGCCAGGCCAGGTTCTACTGGTTCAAACTGGACCTGGTCCGGGGCATGTTTGTTCGAAACTTTTGGCTTCGTCCCCCGCGCAAGGAAGATAGCTTGCAGAAGATCGCCAGAAAGTATGTGACCAGACACCAAGATGATGCGAGAAAGAGGGAAGGAAACCCAGACAAGAAAGCTACCTGGACTATCCTGTTTGGGTGTCCAAGATCCCAGGTCGTAGTGGGCGTTTGTTCGCCTTGGTCGGCCGCGGGGGGTGGAAGCTGGAACAGTTGGTGTGTGATCGCCAAGCATCTTGGGTGGGCGCAGGTTGAAAAGCCAAGAATCATGGAGTCCACGAGTCCACCAGCACATAGCAGCACCTAGTTTGGATGGTGATTGGATTGAATAGACGGACGTGTTTTTGTTGGGGGTCTTTGTGCACCATGCCCGAACTGGTTGTTGCTGGCACTGGGAGATTTACAGTTACAGCAGAAGATCATATACGTGACGCGAGGCGTTTGAACACCCGCAACTGATAATTGGAAGATGACAACTTCCTCTACCTGAGCGGTTATGACATGTTGCGCAATGGTGCAACTCTGGGGTCATTGCCAATGCCGTTAAAGTTCTTATCACGATGGATACCCAGAATGCAGATTTGACTGAGCGCAGCACCAGTTAATTAAGAAACAACACTGCCAGAAAGGGCTTGGTGCGATGATTTTCCTCTCTACGTACTACCACAATGAGAAGTACGCAGGCATCACGGAAGGGGTAATGCCCAGATGATCCACACGCTGGACCCTGCGTTCCGGGGCCGTATCCTCTGGAGGGGTCCGGACCCGAACCAATCCCTATAGGGTTTGGTTCGGGACCGGGAAAGGCCGTCGTTCACGGAGCGTCCGGTCGTGGCTTCGATCGACTCAGTCGGACATCCAGATCCACGAAGCCTTAATGACTCTTAAGATGGATTAGCCCTCATTAGGCCTCCGTTTTCGTACCGAACATGAGGTTCGGTGGGACGACCGGGGCCCGGGTGCCAGGAGGGTCTAAGTACCGAACCTGAGGTACGACTGGAGGTGTAGGGTATATACCCCATTGGCCCCATTGGTACTATCAATCAAGACTCTACATGATGGATCCACATACCCTTTGAGAAGGTGATGTCACTGTTATGTAGGTGCCAGGAGGGTGAGGGTCTAGTCACTTAGTTGTACCGAACCTGCTCCAAGTACCTCGATCCTCAGAAGGTATGACTGGACTCTCCTGGCACCCGGGCCCCGGTCGTCCCACCGAACCTCAGGTTCGGTACGACTGGAGGCCTAGGACGAGACGAGAAAACCGAACGAAACGAGAGCCTTTCCACCCGACCTGCTGTGGGACAGGAGTTTGAAGGTGCTCAGCCTATAGTACGACCTAGCTACGACATGGAACCACAGAAAGCACCTCCTTGGATCATGGGGCATGTCCCAAAACAAGAAAGAAACGACGTTTTCCCCCATTTTCCGAGGTACAGTCACGAACTGGGACGTCCAGGGACTCAAGCCTAGCCCGGACGGAAAAATCAAAATTCGACGGAATCAGGTCACGACGTGGTTTCCCATTGATTTGATCACCATCATCCCGTTCGATATCATCGAACTGGCCTCCGGCGCGGATCACATGGGTGCCTTCAAGGGGACCAAGGCCATTCGTGCTTTGAGGCGCCGCCAACAAGCGAGCTGGGTGACGAACAGAGCAGTGTCACAGGGTGCTTCTGAGTGACATACATGACCCCCGGATTGCAAGCAATTTAATAGCCTACACCTCCAGTCGTACCTCCGCAGAAGGTATTTGGACCTTCCAGACCCACCAAACACCTTCTCAGGTTCGGTACGACTGGAGGCCGAGGGTAGGATTGATACAAAACCAGGTCAGCCGTGCTTCAATTGTCTTGGAAGTCCAAGGGTGGGTCATTGTCAGGCCGCCCCCACCGTGGTGGGGCGTCTGGGCCCAGTCGGTCGAGTTTAGGGTGTGTGAATACGACGGAAGGACCTGTGAAAGTACCTCAAAGAATGAGTACCAGGGTCATCCTGTCTGGGTGTCCTGGCTAGACTACCCTACCTTACGTAAACGGGCCTCCGGACAGGGCACCCATTGGAAGTGCTAGGTACCTGGAGTTTGACAGGAAGTACCGGTTTTTATGGCTTCGTGTCACATTTTCTCAGGTACTTGACGTCTGGTCCAGGTATGTACAGTTGTACCTGAGCCAGTTTTGGGTTCGGGTCATGTTCCGCTTTCGAGGGAACGAAGTCAGGTCCTGGTCGTGGCAAACTCCAGATAATTATGGAAGATTCACCTTCAGACTCTGAAAACATGTGAATCCTCCCAATGTTGGCAACTATTCCATACATGGATTGTTTGGGACAGGCATGTGATCCCTACTGTAGGTGTTTTGCGACTTTGCGAGCCCAAAAAGGTTGGACCATCATGCCTGGCAGGTCGGAGTTGCCTCCTAGAACCCTAGCAACTGGATTAGCCTCCGGGAGTCTAGGGAAGAGTTCGTTCCTCGGAAAATAAGATACACGTACTAGCATCGTCCAACTGGTCTCCTGGTCAGGGGTCATGTCAAGATCTATCGAAGACTTGGCCTATCTTGGCCTGACGTCCAGGTTATTAAAGTTGATGAGAATCCTGAAGAACCTCAAGTGGCTTCATAAGTTTGAAATTGCCGTGTCCATCCCCTACCAACAGTTCGCCTTGGTGTTTTGGCAAGCAGAATGGGCGAAGAGATCTGGATGGGAAGGAGGGGTGGCTAACTCTAAAGGGCCATTACGGGACACCCTCTCCGTGGTGCTGGTGGATAGATTCAGGGTTCTTAAACAAACGCACCAAAAAAGAACACCTCCCATGGGCTTTTCTGAAGCCCCTGGCACAAACAAAACACACGTGTGTCTACCGTCCCATCGACTCCAATCACCCCAAAGTGGGTGGTGCTGGTGGGGTCAACAGAAGCACCATACCATCTCTGGGATTGTTCAAAACGACTTGCAGGATCGCTCAAGGGCACTTCACCGTGTTGTAGTAGGTCATATTTACGCCACTATGGATCCTCTGGGTTTGTTATATACATATATGCCTATACTCAGCAAGGGAAAGGGTGAGTCCCACCAGGGGGTTATTAGTCACTATAGTGGTTTGGTGGGCACAAGCAATCTCAAAATACTGACTCCTGAGCCGTTTTCCTCGGACAATAAAGGTTGACCCAACTTTCTACCTGTTCCATCTCTCTCCCGGGGTTTTCCCGGATGGCCTGCGACGCTCTGGTCACATAGCCGAAAACCACAACTTTCTACCTGTTCTGGTTTAGTGGGGTGTCCCCACTCCCAAAAAGAGGATAAAGGTTATCCACTGACTGGGTATGTATATTGTCCAAATCAATGGTTTCCAACGAACGTCATTTCTGCGGTGGGTCCCTGTAGTTGCTTGGTCACACAAGACATGGACCTGATCCTGACACTCCATGGATGCAATATACCCCCTAGGCCTCCAGTCGTACCGAACCTGAGGTTCGGTGGGACTGGGGGCCCGGGTGCCAGGAGGGTCCTGTCATGCCTAACCTGAGGAGGCACTTGGAGGTGTAGGGACCTGGACTTCAAGTACCCAAGAACATCCTGACCTTATGAGAACCGTGCCGATTTGACGAGGTATGTTGATGCATACCCATGGGACCCATACCAGCATCCTCCAACAGGTCACCAATTAAGATCTGTTAGGGCCCATAATTTATGAAGTATCCCTAAAAATCTAGGAACCAAATCATTAGTGCGAGCGCTTCTTCAAAGAAGCTTCCCCCGCCGCCTTTAGTGCGGCGGGGGGAGCTTCCTTGAAGAAGATCGAGCTATCCTGCATCCAGGGTAGTAGCTACTTAAGCTACTAGCTACCTCTCCCTGAATTAAGTAAGCGCCTACCTAATTAAGTAGGGAGGAGGGGGAGCAGGCTCAAAAATAAAAAAAGGACATCAACCCGTCGAAAGACCATACAGCACCATGGACCCAAGGTAGACAAAACATATACAGCGATCGTGATGTAATGTGATGTAGGCAATATCATGTCAATATGCATCGTCTGGGATACAGTGGACCAGCTTCATATTTTTAGGACTTGTTTGAGCCGGCGTCGGGCATGTGGACGAATTCGAGGTTCGCTTCCTCTTTGTCTTGCTGATCGTTTGTCATTGGCTGGCTTGTGCCCGAGATTGAGCTCTCAGCAGGCTTTTGATGTTCTTCACCCTAGGCCTCCAGTCGTACCGAACTTGAGGTTCGGTGGGACTGGGGGCCCGCGTACCAGGAGGGTCCAGTCATACCGAACCTGAGGAGGTACGACTGGAGGTGTAGGGGATCAGTTCTCTTTTGGAGGGGGAGGTGTTTGACACATCTGGAGGCGCCAGGAAGAGGGGATGTGTTCGTACACGTAGGCGTAGATATACGCTGGATCTCCTAACTGTGCAGAAGGTCGCTTCCGAGCTTCATCTGTAAAGTCAGCCAAGGTTGGCGGACGCATAGGTTGAAGGATCCCAGGTATTGGCTCATGTGGATTTCAATCACCCCAAAAGCCAGATGAGAGTACCTGGACCATCCAAGGGGTGCCCAATGGACACCCCTTGGATGGTCCTGGTAGGTGACACAATCCCCAAGGTCGGAGGTTCAACAAAAAGGACCCCATCTGTCTAAGATGTCTTGGGGTGCCAGCGCCATTTCTCACCTCTGAAACTGTAAAGACGTCGTAAAGCAGGAAACACCATCTCTGCCAGCGCTTCCATGTCGGGGTGCCGGTTCCGGTTCCGGATTTCAGTCGGTAGCTCGGTGCCCAGCTACTCCACTCACTGGATTTGACTCAGAACAGCTGCCCAGATGCTCCGTTCACAGCTCGACTGGTACCTCAAAACCCTAGGGATTTGAGACCCCAGACCCCTCCAGAGGATTCGGGCCCACAGTCGCGCCTGGGTGGGTGGAGTCGGATTCGAGTGCGCACACTCTGCCGTCGACGCGAGAGCGCGTCTCGCGAGACCCCGCATCGCTCGCCGCATGGGGGGTGGGAGTTGACCATCGTTTCCATTCAGAATTCACTGCAGGTGACACCCTTAAACCTAATTTCTTTTAGTCTATCTTCCTTCTTCCAAGGGGTCGGTAGACCGCCTGGTGTCGGTCTGAGCTACACACCGTCATGGCCCCTCCAGACACCGGCGACACCGCTTTCGGCGGCGAGCGAGGTGTTTGGGCGATGACTCTCCAGCTCAACGACCCCTTGGCCGAGCCTCCCATCCCCACCTGGATCGAGGAGGTTGAGGCCGCCGACGCGGAGGATCGGACGGAACCCATGCGTGGCTTGGAGGCGGTGGATCATGGATCCGGCAGGTGGGTGGGATCATGGAGCATGGGCTTTTGGGGGGGGACGTGGCGGAGATGGGACAATCCCAGTCCCACCCGACCGTGAACTGGAAGTCTGGAAGTCTGGAACCCGTGACTGGCCTCCGTTGTCGTACCGAACCTGAGGTACGGTGGGACTGGGGGCCCGGGTGCCATGTTCGGGTCCAGTCATACCGAACCTGAGGAGGTAAGACTGGAGGTCTAGGGATATATATTTGGAGTCGACCCGGACTCGTACCTCAGAAAATGGTCCCAATTAGTTCAAAATAATGCTGTTTGGGGTTCGGGCTGTCCCGTTTTCGGTACTTGAAGTTGGGTCCAGGTAATAATCCATCTGTCCCGTGGATGGTTCGGGTATGTTCGGGTTATGGACATGCTGGATGAGCTTCTGCGAGATTCTGGGAACTTCGAAATGTTTGGATGGTACCAGCACCCGACTTTTTCAGAGGTCTCCAAAGTGAGAGAGGTTGGGGGCACCCTGAACGCGACAAGTGTCAATGAAAATGGCTTTATGTCTTTAGCATCAGCACCCAGCATAAGTGGATTTGCTCAGGTTTATATCTCACTGCCTTCTACTTCTGCAGCTACACCATGACCTCAGTGGGCTACGGCGACATCTTCCCACGGAACATTGTGGAGCGGGTGGTGTGCCTCGGACGAGCACATCCAGCACCGGATGAGCCGTAACATCAACGGACCTCGAGTCACCACGGACCAGCCGTGCGGGGACAGACGGGTGCACGTGAAGGCGGACGGTTTTTGTGTTTTTTTGCTGCCACTGCTGATTCAGGGCTGTCCCTTTTCTCGGAAACTCAACGTTGCACACCCATGATAAATCTGAGTAATTACGATTTGTTAGGGCGTTAACTTGTGCACCTCTTGCCGGACTTCATGAACAAGGAGGGGTTGGAGTCTTAGGGCGAGAGGAGCAAATACCAAATCTGAACAGTGGAGCAAGTACCTCGTGGAGGAAATGTCATGCTGGACCACCTTTTGACATCCATACTCCCTGAGGGTGTCCAAGAATACTTCATGCATCTTCATGCCCAAACGCTTTGACTGGTTGATCCAAGTCGACTTGGAATGTCCGGACGTATACTTTGGTGTGAAGTGATGCATCAAGTCTTTGGACGCAGCGTCCGAGCCGGGCACGGTACCCGGCAGCCTCTTCACTCGACTCGACTCCAGGGTCTGATGCGTCGAGCGTCGAAAGCGGAGCTGACCCGCGCGGGGCCTTCGCTGCTTCGCCTGTGCGCGCCCTTCCGGGCCCCCCAAGACCATTCCGGATGGCACCGTTCTTCGAGGTGCACGATGATCATTTTGACCGCGGGGCTTTGCTGGGCCTATGTCCTGGGTGAGGTCTGTGCCATCGTCAGTGACATGAATAGCGAGACCCAGGCGACTCGCCGCGACAGAGCGAGCGAGAAAACGCACCGGAGCCTGACTTGGGAGATGATGAATAGCCAATGGATGCCAATGGGTTTGGGGTTTGGTTTGGGCAGGATGATAGGCAGATGGTTATTGCAAATTGAAGAGCAGTCAGTTATTGTTGTGAGCATGGGGAGTTGAGTTTTTGCATGTGTTTGTTTGAGTAAAATCATTTAACACAAAAACACAAAGATGCCCAAACATACTATGGTGGTGTCTCTTAGTCTTTATGTTACTTATGTCTGAGCTCTTTTTGGGGGGGTGGTTTCTATTTATGTTTTGTCCTGGACTTGGGGTCTGGAATCGTGTTTTCTGTGTGTTTTGTATGCTTTTCAGCCATGTTTTGATCATGTATAACCATTGGAAATTGTTAGTGGTTGCAAAGGAATGAATGATATGGCCTTTGCAGATGTGCCAAGCAGAATTTGTTAGAGTGAACTTTTGAACATTGTCATGACATAGGCATAACGCTGTGAACGCAGGTCGACCTTTTTTGGCACAAAAGAAGCGCTACCGAATTTGGTAGCGGAGCCTCTACGGAGGCTCCACCTTGGACTGGCCGTAGCGTGCCTTCCAGGGACCCCTTTTTTTTTGCTCCCTCGCACTCCGCTGCTTCATGGTGGCGGCCTTTGCATCGACCTGCATCCTTTTCACGGTGTCCATCCTGAGTGCCCTCAACATCCAGCTCGAGCCCTACGGCATCCTCCACTGGAAGGAGGATCTCCTCCTCGACATGGCCCAGTCCGGGCCCTCAGTACCAGGTGGCCTTCCTTTGGGCGAGTTCAGGAAGGACACACCTCCTGGCTGGATCCCCGGTGATCCAAGCTACAGCTTGAAGCTGTACATGGAACGGGTCCGCATGTGGTACCGGACTTTCGAGGGCCCTGACGAAATGGTTGGTCCATTGATCGCTGGAAGATTGCAAGGGCGAGCACAAACCATAGCTCATTCTTTGAGGTTGGTTGACCCCTTGGGCAACTATGACGTTGGAGACGCCGCCCTTGTTCGACTGTCTGTGGAAGAAGTCCGCGACCCAATGAACCAAGCCATAATCCTGCAACCGGCGATCCCGAGCGGTGTCCAAGCCCTCATGAACGCCCTCAAGGAGGCCTTCGGCGACGCTGAACAAGTTCAAGCTACCCGCTCGCTCGAAACCTTCTTTGACCTGAAGAGAGGACGCCTTTCGTTGCAGGAGTTCTCAGTGGAATGGAACTTGAAGCTGGAGGAAGCAGTGACCCACGCTGGCTTGCAGATCAACAACGTTGCGAAAACGTTTTTGTTCTTCAGAGCAAGTCAACTTCCAGCAAAGCACGTGGAGGACATCATGCTCCAGATCCACGGCGACATGAGGAGGTTTGATGATGCTCGAAATCTGGCCCTTCGCTTGGCACATCGCCAAAACGAACCAGGTCATTTCTATGATGCCAGATCCACTGCTTCCCAAGGAACTGAGATTGAGGAGCTCTATGGCCAGGACTGGACAGCCGAACATGACAATGCAAGCTACCTGACAGAGCCATGGTCTTGGACTGAAAGCTATTGGCAGGACTACACTGCAGATGACCCATGGTCTGAATGGTGGCCCGAAAGTTACTACGACGAGGAGTCCGAGAACGGCAACTATGATTGGGCAGCTGCAGATGAATGGCACGAAGACTACTGGCAAGAAGATGCTCTGCCAGAAGAGGAACCAGCTGGAGCGACATCAGTGCAAGAGACAGAAGACTACTATAAAGGCAAAGGCAAAGGCAGCCTTGGCCTGGGATGCACTGTTTGCGGCTCCAAGTGGCACAGCTCTTCATCGTGCCCTATGAGTAAAGGCAGCTCCCATCAACATGGTTCTCAAGGCTGGCAAAAGGGAAAGAGCAAAGGCAAAGGAAAGAAAGGCGGCTTTCGTGGCGGCTTCAAAGGAGGCTTCAAAGGAAAGAAAAAAGGCTTCAAGGGCAAGGGCAAAGGTTTCCGACCATGGTCCTCAGACTACAACAAAGGCAAAGGCAAGAATTATATGGTCTATGCCCCTGTCGGTGAGGAAAGTCCAACCAAGAGCATTCGTGAAGCTCGACAACTCCACCATGCTCGTTTTGGCATTGATCTGTCAGGACCATCGACCTCATCGTCCACAGAGCCCTTGCAACGCTCTCCTGAGAAGACCATCCTGAACTTTGACATCAGCCGCGAAGAAGATTTCCTTGGCCGACACAAGGAACAACATGAAGAACCTGTCACAGAGACCACAACCACACAGAACAGCAAGAAGGTGCTGAGCTTCCCCGTCATGATCCACCATGGCATCACAGAGCCAAATGTCAGCACCTACCATACGGTAGCTGGCCAGAAGAGAAGAGGACTCTTGGTGGATCCTGGTGCTGCAGCTGGTCTCATCGGCAGCGAGACACTTCGCGACTTGGTTGACACTTGTCTTCGACCAGCTGGCCTTGACAAGCACATGACATGGAAGGAACGCAGCACCTCCGTGACAGGCATTTCCGGCAAAGGCGACTCCACTCTCGCCGAGGTGACCTTTGAGTTCCACTTGGACGGCAGTGGCAACAGGGCATCGTTCTCAGCAGATGTTCTTGGAGGTGATGGTTCACTATGTCCAGCTCTGATCGGCAATCCAAGTCTCAGAGCTATGAATGCCGCTCTGATTACGCAGTTCTTCAAGAACAACGATGGACTCCTGGTTTGTCATGCCGACACCTCAACAGCTTCCAAGCCGACCATGATTCGAGTGCTTTTGACCGACTCAGGACACTACATCATTCCTCTCGATGACATGCGACCAGTGAACACCGATGAGCAGAAGAAAGCTGTCTTGTTTCTTGGACAAGTTCAACAACAAGCAAGCCAACTCTGGCAGGACTGCAACAGCTTTCGTTACTGCTTTCAGACAACGTCAACACCCACTGGCGCAGAACCTGAGCGGAGTGAAGATAGAGATGAACATGATGATCCACAACCAAGACAAGGACCACTGCAGAAAGAATATCTTTATGTTCCACAACCAAGACAAGGACCACTGCAGAAAGAAGAT